GGATGGATGGATCGATCGGCATAAGGTAGAGATGGAGGACCACCCGTGGAACTGTCCTCATGGACGACCAACTATGAGACATGTTATCAACCTGAACATGATTGCTGGTGTTAAAATGATTAGTAACCAGGGTCCGGTTGTACGAAGGGTAGATAGCGCTATCCACCCTACGCACAACCGGGATCATAACGGTTGCTCCTATGAATRGCAAGRGAMGAATTRTCTGTATCTGTGTTTTTACGTTTTTGATCTTTTATAAATCGATTTTTTAAAATGTTAGTTAAATTAGATTAAATTAAAATTGGGTTTGGAACTACTTAATGGAGTCTTTAAAAATGTCTCGCTCCTCCACATTGAAATCAACCCGTACCCACAGTTTAATGTGATGAACTAGAAGGCTCTTATCTGGAAACCTCTGGAGTATTATATCCATCGTCCGAAACGCTAAATCAGACAGCAAGGAATGATGGGRCTTAGTATCCATTCTCGTACCCAGACCCTCCTCATTAGCCAATCCGCACGAGTAGAGTCTCATTCCAATCCCCCTTAACAAAGCGTCGCTTCGTAGGCCCGAMTTAAAAACCCATTTATCTTATACGCTTTCTGCCTTTAATTTACTCTCCTGCCGATGGCGATGAGACACTTTTGGTTATAAAATCAAAATCGAAAAAAACTGTGGTAAGTAAGTCAATAAGTATACTTATGAGTAGAGATTATCAGTATAACTTGGGCATGTGATAATGTAACAAGAGTCGGCCGCCTCCGTTTTCCTCAAAATTTTTTGTATTAGGTAACTGAGGTAGTAAGTGCAGGCCATTTACAGCACGTTAAACCGTATGAAGAAGTTACTACCTATCCAGACAAGGAAAGACATATACCAACAGTTCATCTCACCACACTTCGATAACTGTTCCGATGATTGGCACTTTTGTAGCAAAAACGCAACAGACAAGCTAGAGAAAGTTAATGAACGAGCAATCCGTTTCGTTTTTCAAGACAAGAACAGCTCGTATACTAATCTACTCAAAAAACTGGGATCCACTACTCTGTACGAGAGAAGACTCAAGAAGATTATACTAACTGTCTTCAAGGCCCTTCATAAAGACAACAGCCCAGAATCCATAAAGGAACTGTTGCAACACCGAAGTACAAGTTACAATCTAAGAGGAACGAACATTCTAAAACTGCCAAAAATCAATTCTACAACGCAGGGCCTTAAATCATGGCGGTATATTGCTCCCAAAACATGGAACAGTCTACCAGAGAGCATGAGACGAGAAGTGAACATAAAAAGCTCCCTTAAAGAATTAAGAACATTGGAACTAGAAACCTTGTATAACTTACAGACATAATTATTTATATTTTATTTTAAGACACTGTAAATAAATCGCATTTTATATTTTATATTAGTACTATATTGCATATTTATATATAGATATATTTCTCGTAATCATATTCTATCATAATTTTAACTTAATTTATTTTCTTGATTTATTATATATTATTTTGTGGCAGTACCTGCAAATTAGCAAAATATCCTATATATTGAGCTAAGTGTATTTTCGACCACGTTATATAAAGTTATTGTATTGTATTATATTGTACGTAGTTGACTAGTTTTGTATAGGATTTTTGATGACAGTAGTAGTACAGTACTCGTAGCAGTGGCTACTACACGATGAAAATGCTACGACTGAGTTACAA